AAAATATAACCTAACTATAAATCCAGCTGATTTGAGATTGATATTTTTAATAATTTAAGATCCTATATTTAATGTAGATTTAATCTGTCCAACTTTTGTTTGACATTTCCCATCTCAGAACTATCGATAGTTGAGGAAGGATTCTGACATCTCACAGCTTTTGAAAGGTGTTCGAGTAAATTTGAGCTCATGGCTTCGTATCACTCTGTATCACAAGCAAATAGAGGCGTTGAAGAATGATCCCACGGTTTGTCCTCCTAAAAGAAGGCTCTAGGGTAGAATCTCAGTCTTTTAATCCCATTGACTTCCAAGATTATTTGACTGGTCCATTCCTCTCATTCCCTAGTGATGGTTTGTCTGTGTTGGAGGAACACCTATGAACATCTCACAAATGTCACAGTCAACCTGACCCCACAGCTGTCTTGCTGTGACTCAAGACTGGGCTCTAAGATTAGATCACATAAGGCTGGAGATCAAGGACCGTTATTTTCTCAAAACTCTGTCCAACCTTAGCCACAGCTAAACTGGGTTAAACTCAAGACCCAGATTAGATGGAGCAGGGATGGGTCAGAGAAAAGAGAGAGATTGGGCTAGAATGCCACAAGAGTCTGCCTGCCCCAGCTCTCTGCGTGGAGGAAAGCAAGGGTAACTTCCTCTGTGGCCTCCACGCCAGGCCGTGGGCGGTGACCACAGCTGGCTGCCGTTCAATCTCGGAGCTTTCCTGGAAACTGACGTCACAGGATCACTTTGCAGAGCCCTGGGTCATGAGGCTGGGTGTGGCGTCCTTGACTGTGGAGGGCATGGGTCTTCCAGGCAGTGGGGATGGCAGAGTGAAGGGGCAGAAGCTCAATAACTGGCGCGTCACAATGAAGAAAGGCCAGGGGTTAGGGAGGGACCCTGTCTCTGGGTTAACTGATGGTGCAACAGCAATGCTGATCTTCACCAAATGGGCAGCCTTCCTCCTTCAGTTCACGTGCGTCTGAGTAAGTGGGAAAACCAGAGAGGAGAAAGCAGAGGTCCTTCTTCCCATCTGTGAAGGAAAGAATCAGAGAGGATAGTCCCAGGTTTTGGGCACTTCCTTAGCGGGTACTCTGTGGACAAGGCGATGACAGGGACCTGGAGCAGTTGTAACAGGATCCCAGGTTGGTGGGTGAGTAGGTGATTCCAGGGGCCATCTGGCCCCATCTCCTTCTGGGTACGCTATTTGCCCGGGCCCAAAAGGTTAGCTTTCGGGCAGAGTAAATCTCAAGCTCCTGACGCTGCAATGTCATGGTCATCCCACTCACCAGATTACTTAGGGTCAATGAAGAAAATACCGTCGTTTCTTCAAGCAACAATCTTATTTTTAAGAGTAATCGGGTTCTGTGCTAGGCCTTGAGGGTTCGAACGTAGATAAACTAGCTCCTCTGCTCGAGGAGCCCCCGTTCTAGTGACAGGAGAGATCATTACAAGGCAAGGTAGACGCTCAGGACGGTAACGGAGCTGCATGGGGAGATGGCGCTCGCTGTGGGAGTGGGGGTTGGGCACGAAGAATCAGGCAGAATCGGAGAAGGCTTCCTGGGAAAGTGACAACACGTGGCCTGAGTCTCAGGGTGATTAACTGCTAACCCAGTTGAGTGTCAGAGAGAGAGAGAGAGAGAGAGAGAGAGAGAGAGAGAGAGAGAGAGAGAGAGAGAGAGAAGGGGGCAGTTCCAGGAAACTGGTGAGCAAAGCTAAGGAAGGAGGGGTAGTGACAAACAGTCAATGTTCCTTGTTGAATTAGAAAGGGTAAGACAGGGACTGTTGCCACAAGTTTAGAGAGATGGGCAGGCACACATTAGGAAGGGCCTTTGAGATATGTGTACATGCTAAAACCGTCCCTACAGTCAAGATAGCATGCATCCCTCCCCAAGGAATATTTGTGGTCTTTTGTAACCCTTTCTCTTGCTCTTCTTACTCCCCCTCTGCTTGCCTCTCCCCACTCTTCTTTACCTCCACCTCCCAAGCAATTATTTATCTGTCCTTTGTTGCTACCGGTTAGCTTTCATTTTCCTAAAATTTTATGTAATTGGAATCACAGTGTATGTATTTTTTTATGTCGAGCCTCTTTCATTCACCATAGTTATTTTTGAGTTCATCTATGCCAGTGGTCGGCAAACTCATTGGTCAACAGAGTCAAATATCAACAGTACAACAATTGACATTTCTTTGGAGAGCCAAATTTTTTAAACTTAAACATCTTCTAACGCCACTTCTCTAAAATAGACATGCCCAGGCTGTGGTATTTTGTGGAAGAGCCACACTCAAGGGGCCAAAGAGCTGCATGTGGCTCGCAATCCACAGTTTGCCGGCCACGGATCTATGCGGTAGCATGTGTCGGTAGTTCATTCTTTCTTATTCCTGAGTAGTTTACCTTTAAATAATTGTACCACAGTTCATCTGTCCCCTCACCTATTGATGGGCCTTCGGGTTGTTTCCAGATTTGGGCTCCCACAAATAAAGCTGCTGTAAACATTGCTATACAAGTCTTTGTACGGCCATATGTCTTTATTTCTCTTCAATAAGGACCTTGAGTAGGGCTAGATCAGCTCAATAACTGGGCTAGATCCTGTGGTAAAAGTTACCTTTCACTTTTTACTAAACTGGCCAACGGTTTTTCAAAGTGGGCGAACTTTTTCCCATTTTCACCACCGTGCGTGAGTCCCAGTTCCACCACATCCTCATCTACACCTGCTCTGCTCAGCTGTTTTTCTTTTCTCTCCTTTTAGTCATTCTAGGAGGTGGGTCCTGGCACCTTGTTGTGGTTTTAATTTACATTTCCTGAATGACTGAGTAGAGTGCTTTGTCATTTACTTATCTGCCATCTGAGTATCTTTGGTGAAGTGTCTGTTCAGCCCTTTTGCCCATGTTTAAATGTCGTTGTTGGCTTTCTTGCCGTTGAGTTTTGAGGGATGTCTGATGGCCAGTGTCTTGCAAGCAGTCATTGTATATTTTGTTCCTTCATTGGTTGCCTTAAGCGAGAGAGTTTCACTTGCCATGGTGTCAGCTACCTATGGTCAACCACGGTCTAGACATATTAAACGGGAAATTCCAGAAATAAGTAATTTGTGAGTTTTTCAATGCACGCTATTCTGGTAGCATCCCACTCTGTCTGCCTAGGACATGACTCACCCTTTTGTCCAGTGTGTTCGCACTGTGTCTGCCACCTGCCCATTAGTTTCTTGGTAGACATCTCAATTATCAGATCGACTGGCACAGTATGGGAGTGCTTGTGTTTAAGTCACCCTAACATTATGTCACATTATGTATGTCATTCACCTCACTTCCTCTAAGCTCATAGGCATTGTATCATCTCATATCATCATGAGAAGAAGGATAAAATAAAGTACAATTCAGGCATTTTCAGAGAGAGAGACCACTTTAACGTAACCTTTGTTACAACATATTGTTATAATTGTCCTATTTTATTATTTTATTGTTGTTAGCCTCTTACTGTGCTTAATTTTAAATTAAACTTCATCCTAAATATTATATGTATGTATTAAAAAAAAAAGCCATGGTATATATAAAGTTCATTACAATCTGGGATTTCAGGTATCCACTGGGAGACTCAGAACATATCCCCTGAGGCTAAGGGAAACCACTGTACATCCAAACACCCTCATAATCTAACTTTATTTTAACTTGATTAAAGTAATGGTGATGAACTAAGAATAATTTTGAGGGTCAAGACAAGAAGGAAATAAAAAGAGGACAAAGCAAAGAAAAAGGAAAACAGTATGAAATAGAATTTGATCTTTTCAACGGAGAGGATTACTCTACCGTGGAACAGAAGTAGTTGCTCCACAGCCTGGAAGAACCATCTGATGAGCCTCAAGACCATCTGCTTTCTACGCACCTTGATACTGCAAAGAGGGTTCAAAGAATTGTACGAGCAATATGTGAGCTGAAAAAGGCATAGTTCTAATGTAAAAAAAAAATTACATTCTGTTTTCTTTGTTAGTCTCATGTGTAGTTTTACAATATGAATCACTCTATGAACCCCATTACCACTGAGAGAAATCAAAAATTGTGTATCTGAATCTCTAGAATTGAGGACCAGACTTTGGACACTGATGACCTCATCAAGAAAAATACAACCACAAATATTTATTTTTTAAAAGTTCAAGTTTCGCCTGGCCAGCATGGCTCAGTGGTTGAACGTTGACCTATGAACCAGGAGGTCATGGTTCAATTCCCTGCTGGGACATATGCCTGGGTTTCAGGCTTGATCCCAGTAGTGCTCGCTCTCTCTCTCTCCCCCTTCTTCTTTGAAATCAATAAATTAAAAAGTTCAAGGTTACATCGCTGTCTTCTTTCATTGTTCCTCTGGACAGTTGTTGGCCAGCTTTAGCTCTACTGTAAGATTGACAGCTCCTGAAGGGTAGCTACTGCTTGGTTACAGTTGCTTCTCCCACAGCATCTTGGAACAAAAAACACCATCCATGTCTTCAGTAAAAGAATAAGTGAGGCATAGTATGTTCCCCCACTTCCATGTGAAGAGGTATGGAGACTACAGGTAATTTATAGGTGCGTTTCATGGCACCTGAGGGACTGGTTGATTGAGGCACCAGCCATGTCCACAGCTAATTGACCAGCTTCGCCCTGACCTCAGGGCTACCTTCTTGAGTAAGTATCCAGGCACTAGTCGCTGAGCACTGGCTTGGTGTGTGTCCCCGTGACTTGCCCTCCTGGCTCTATTGCTCACTCCTTTAGTGCTTAATTCAATGGTAAGCATCCTTGGCTTGATGCATTGAAGCAAAAGTGAGTGTCCGAGATGAGCCAGTTGGTACCTCAGTTCAGAGAGTAGGATGGCAGGAGATTTGGGGAAACTTCCCGGAGAAGGGTCACAGCTCAAACCCGAGGTAAATGGTAGAGATCCTTGAACTGAATGTTTGTGCCCCTTTAGAACCAACTTGCAGAGCCAGGTCATTTACATTGTCTCTATTTCCTTCCACTTTTTAGTGCAAGAATATCCCAGGATGGGCATGAGTAGCTTGAAATTGCTGAAGTATGTCCTGTTTTTCTTCAACTTGCTCTTTTGGGTAAGTGAGTCTCTTCTGAGCATGGCTGAGCGCACCTCTCCCCAGGTGTGCTCTGTTTCTCACTCCTCTGCTGAAGGGCGTCATGTGGAGGGAACCCATGCGCGCCTGGGTCATGTGCAGTCCGCCTCTCCTGAGAAGAAGGGAATGACACTTTTCTCCCCTCTCTGCATCCTGCCACAGTATAACCCTGCAGCATGGAGAGGCATCAATGCAGTTCATTAGGAAATGGACGCTGTTTCTCGTCCATAACCTGGAGACATTAGGTTATTACAGCTCACTGCTGCCATCTATGCATGAGAAACCAGAGAGTCTACCCTGTGTGTAGCATGCCTCTATTTCCCTAGATGTTATATGCCACCTGGACATCTTAGAAGAGCTGATGGAGAGGAAAGCCACCTTTCCTGGGGAGGTTTCACTACCACATTTAGCAAATGAATTTCAGAGATGAGTCAGCACTCATGTTTCTGTGAGAGCATGCTTAGAAGTGGGCTTCTCCAGTTTTCCGCCTTGCAAGGTGAACTTCTGAACCAGGGCCTCCACTCCACATGGTCGTGGTTCCCAAAGGGAAGACCATGTGCAAGCAGCTGAGGGGCAAGGAGTGGGAATCGGAAGCATGAAAATGCTGTGCTACCCACAGGAGTGAGCTTCCCCTGGTACTGATATGGGTAGGATGAGGCATGCATGGGGCGTGACAGGAGGAGGCTGGGACCGCCCCTTCCCGAGGGGAAAGCTGGGGACAGAGGCTGTTCACCAGAGTCCTGAGGAAGCCAATGGAAAAGGGTGATTCCAATCTCAAGTAAGTGAGACTGTGAGGAGATCCCCAAGAGCCATGTTTTCTCTCGGAACGTTGTGGGATTCTTCCTTTCAGTTCTGCGGCTGCTGCATCTTGGGCTTCGGGATATACTTCCTGGTCCACAACAACTTCGGGGCCCTCTTCCACAACATGCCCTCCCTCACGCTGGGCAACGTGCTCATCATCGTGGGCTCCATCATCATGGTGGTCGCTTTCCTGGGCTGCATGGGCTCCATCAAGGAGAACAAGTGCCTGCTGATGTCGGTGAGTCTCTCGCAGGAGACGTGGTGCCCTGAGGAGGGGTGGGGTGGGGACATCATGGCTTAAGGCCCACGCAAGATGTTTTTTGGCAGCTCACCTATGGGCACAGGGAAATCAGGGGAGCGGGAGATTGGCACCTTGGAAACCCAGGATTGGCATCAGTCTATGTTTTTAGTCACTAACTAATGGAAGATCTAGTCACTAGATTCTTCTGAGTGCTGTGACTCTCCTAAGAGGGCAGCGATGCTTCCCTATCTCCTATCTGCAGGAGATTTGCCACAGTGGGCGTGGCCTGGTTTGGGCGTGGCCTGGTTTGGGCGTGGCCTGGTTTGGGCGTGGCCTGGTTTAGGCGAGGGCCTACGCTGCAGCCACTGAGGTCTAACGTGAGGGCTAGCAGAGCTCTCAGTCATCCTTGGTCTGCTAACTCCCCAGAGGAGCAGCACCTTTAAGCTCAGGGGTAGCCTCTAAGCTCTTGGAAAGAAGAGCTCCTTGTCTCTCTTGCGTGCCCAGATCAGAGCCTCGTATGGTTCCCAGTCGCTTAAAGAAGAACCACTTCTTCCTTAAGTCATCTGGTTCATCTTTCCCTTAGGGGTCAGCTCTGAAACTGGAGTCCAGCCATAGAATAAGAAAGTCCCAGTTCTCAGATAGTTCCCAGACTAATGACAAAAGGTGGAACCTAACAGGCATGGGGAAAGGTTTTAAGTAATCAGAATTCATGTTGGGGTAAAGAGGCAAAGGAAAGAGAATAAGTAAAAGTGTGAATGTGGTTAACACAAAGGGAGTCTCGGCATCTAAAGTTGGAGATAAATATGAGTTAGAACCAGGATTACAGGTTCTAATTCACATTCTCCCATCTGTACAAATAGCCCTGTTCTTGCAGAAAGGACCAGGCCCCAAACTCTAAAGACACTGTTTAGCCAAAATGGTTTCATTGCTTTGACAAATGGTATTGCCTATACCTGGAGCTCAATACACACCTGGGATGGGAGGGGAACAACAAAGAAGACAGCTGATCTGCCCTCTAGAGTCTCGGAATCTAGTTGCAGGAAAAAAATACATATTCCTCACAAGGCAGGAGGGGGCTAGTGAAGGCCCAGCAGACAGGAACGAGAACCTCCGGCACATGGGCAGAGAGGTGACTGGATGCTCCCAGGATGCAGTGGGAATAGGGGGAGAACGGGGATCTGTGCTGTGAGCGTGTCTCTGCTTCCCCCCAGTTCTTTATCCTGCTGTTGATCATCCTCCTCGCTGAGGTGACCCTGGCCATCCTGCTCTTCGTGTATGAGCAGAAGGTAAGTGACACAGAGCACAGCTCCCTGTCCTATTGCAGAGAATGGGGAGTGGGCCGCGGAGAAGAAGTTGGCACAAAATAAGTTCTACAATTAGAGGTAGAAGCAAAGTGGGAGGATGGAGGAAAGGGATTAAACATAATTGGGAAGATAAAAAAAAAATTCATGAAGGATATTGCATTTGTGTGGTTCTTGGAAGGATAAGAAGGAAAAAGAGTGAAAGCAAGTCTATCTTCCTCCTGCCTACTTTTCTCCATGTGTTGGCAATATGGAATGGTGCCTGGGAGCCACGGCTCTGACTGGCCCTTTCTTTCCACTTAAAAAATCAGAGTTCTGGAAGCACAAGTGACCGCTGTGTGCTTCCTCTTTCACAGCTATCTCACCTTCAGCACTTCTTCCCATGCAAAAAAAATCCAGGACCTCCCCCCTCCCTTCCTTAGCTCTGAGGAGACCATTTGGAAGGGAGGGGTAAATGGGACCGCTCAACTGTCCTAGAAATTCCTTGTTCCTCAAACTCACCTGCTTTTTACACTGTCTCCCTGCTGGCGTGTGCCCTGTGCAGTTGGGCGATTCGGTGCGGGAGGGCCTGACTGACAGCATCCAGCGCTATCACTCGGACAACAGCACCAGGGCGGCGTGGGACTCCATCCAGAAGTTTGTGAGTGCCGATGGGCCCCTCCCCAGCTCAACCCTGACTCCATTCTCTCACCTCGGTCCCCGGAGGCTAAAAGGCGCCTCCTTCCCTGGGAGTTTCAGAATCTAAGGCCCGTTGCCCCTATGTCAGGTCCAGAATATGCTTGCCAAGAATCACCTTGGTTCTCCCTTAAGTCATTTGGGTAATCTTAGTTATGTTGTGGGTCATAACATAAAGAAGATTAATTGGGTTGTCTACTGTCTCTCTCTCATCCTTCACCACTCAGATAGGCTCATGGTTTAAGTCCTACTAAGGAAGACCCAAACATGTCATACTTGATTAGTTTGCACCTTTTACAAAATTTCCCTAGAAACAGAAATGATATAATACAAGAAATCTCTTTTGAATTCCTAAGTAGCCCAAATCCTGTTTGATACCTACCCCATCAGCATGCCATTCCTCATTCCCCCTCCCATCCACAAATACCCACATTTACTCTGCATTCCTGCTGTGGTGTGTTGGGGGACAAAGAAGGGCGAGGGAGCCAGCCTGGCACTGGCATAGTCTGTGTCACACACACCACTGTGGCCACCCGGGGCCGTGGCCCTGGCTGTGCCTGCTCAGGGTGAAGCAGCAACAGCACAGGAAGTAGAGCCAGAACTGGTTTGGGCGACCTTGTGGAAGCTCTACCAACCTCTCTGAGTCCCCACTTCTTTATTTTTCAATTCGCTTTAGAAGTCTCTTTATTAGAGAGTTTTCTGGCATATCTAAACACTCACAGAATAAAAGCAAAATGGATCTCTGGGTACATATCACCCAGATTCAATCGTTAATGTTTTGCCACTGTCTCAGCTAATCCCCTCTGCTTTTTTCTTCTTCTAGAATATATTAAAGCAAATACTAGATGTTACCTCATCTTATCCACTCAAATATAAAGATAATAGTCTCTTTTTTTAAGAACTTAAAAATTTTTTAGAGCAAGGAGTCTACGTGAATGAAATGGTATAATGGACTTGAAAGCATTTTGTCTCAGGAGCTGTAGAAGTCAGGCCAATTCTGGATTCTCTGCTCTTCAGTCAGATATGAAGGGCCCACTTTTCTCCAAGGCCCACATTTGTTTTCATTTTGTTGACTTTCTAACTATCATATCTTCGGGGGGGCTTGGTTTTCAGCTGCACTGTTGTGGTGTCAATGGCACAAGTGATTGGACCAGCAGCCCACCAGCTACTTGCCCTAAAGATCCACAAGTTAAGGTAATTTGGGACAACTTTTCTGTTATTGCCTCTTTACTAGAATGTTTAATTACCTTAGAAACTCCAGTCACATAGGACCTAGTCTTCCCAGCCAGAAACAGGGAACCTTGAACAAACTAGAGACCAGGGAGACAACCAAGGTAACTAGACAAATCAGAAGACAAAATAACAAAAACACAAACTCATTCAGACTAGAGACATCGTGTGTCCTACCCTATTACATTAGAGGGCAACATTTATGTGCTAGTGGCAGAGGCTTATGTCTGGATTTCTCTTGAGCAAGAGGTACATCTCCTTAAGGTTGAAAGTGAAATCTGTAAGGTTGGGATAGAAAAGCTCGCCCTACCAGTTTCTCTGCTCTCCTTCCTTGGAGATGGCAGCATCCAGCCACTTAGTGAAATGAGTCATCAGGGAAGGAGTCCGGAGTTGGGAGAGACAGAGTTGGCGCAACTGTTGAAACAACCTGCCCATTTGATTCGGACCTCCAGACTAGGCCCAGAGAAGCATCTTCCAACCCAACCAAGTCCTTAAGGTCCTGTTACCCCATGTTACCCACTCTTGGGGTTGTTTGGAAATCTCTGGAATTTTTTAGGTGTCTGACAAAAGACTGGGACACCTACCAACCAGCAACTGCCTTGGAGCTTGGTAGGACCCTAATATGTTTACTGGCTTTTGAAGCAGAAACACAACCGATCCTAGCACTGCATTGCCTACATTTCTGTTTGTTAGTTCCAAGTCAGCAGTAAATGGTCAAAGAACATAAGGACATCTGTTGCTGACATACCTTTCGGGAGTTAGTTGAACTCACATGTGAGGATTTAAGACTTCTACTTAAGGTATCATTGTAATAACAACATCAAAAAAATCCATAATATTCTCTAGTTTATGACTGTATGTGTACATATTCACCTGACTTAAGTCTCTTGACATAAAGCAAAAGGCAAGCTATCTCCCTAAATAAGCCCCTTGATAAAGTTGAATAATATAGTGGTATCATTTGTACTTGTAATTTTTTCTAGGGTTGCTACATAAAAGCAAAATCGTGGTTTCAGTCCAACTTCCTGTATATCGGCATTATCACTATCTGTGTATGTGTAATCCAGGTAAGAGCTTAACCATAGAACTATTTTCAGGATTAAATGAGTTATGCCATATAAAGTCTTGAATAGTACCAGTTACATAGTATGTACTCAATAAATGTGAGCTCCACAAGTCAAGTAGCCAATAATGTTATTAGCAATTTCAAGCAGACAGGAAATACGCTATAAGAGCTATCTGGTCAACTTATCCTTAAGAGAAAAGCTTGTAATAGACTGGAAAAAAATTGGCTTTATATGCTAAGCAGGAATTGGTGATGAAAATTAGTTAACTAGTAGCCCTACACACGAATCCATGCGCCAGTAGCTCTCTGCGGGGCCTGGCCACTCTGTGCCCAGTGCCCAGAGGCTCTCTGCCAGGCCACTCTCACTGCCTGCTCTCAGCAGCCGCCCCCTGGGACTAGGGGGACTTCTGCAGGGCTGAGAGGACTGGGTGCCACCATCTTGTGCCTATGGGCACCGCCATCTTTGTGACAGTGATGGTTAATTTGTATATTACCCTTTTATTAGATAGGATTTCCTTGTTTCTCTGCTTAGTCAGGAATCAATTGGAGATAGCTCTGTCCTCTTTTATATTATGTGATATTTCTACCATTTTTATACCCCAGTGTTTTGGGTATGCTAAGACTTAATCAAGAAGCTCAGAGAAAAACCAATTTTCTCTGCTTGGAAACCAAGGAGGATTAGAGCATAAGAAGAGAAGACTCATTGCATGAAGCACTGACTTGTGCAGAACATGCCTATTCCAGCAGCAGGGCTTCTTAAGCTTTCATATATATAATTTTATTGATTTTTTTACAGAGAGGAAGGGAGAGGGAGTGTTAGAAACATCAATGAGAGAGAAACATCGATCAGCTGTCTCCTGCACACCTTCCACTGGGGATGTGCTCACAATTAAGGTACATGCCCATGAAAACAACACCTGAGAAGGAATTTGAAGTGATAGCAGGAAAGATGGTGTCAGTACAACGAATATTTCTTTTACTTTGGGGCTGATGCCAGAGGTTGTGGGGGAGATGGCTTCTTCTATAAAGATTTCCTATTTTCCCAACTCTTCTCAGGTGTTGGGGATGTCCTTTGCGCTGACTCTGAACTGCCAGATTGATAAAACCAGCCAGGCCCTAGGGCTGTGACCTGCTACTGCCTTTGCCGAAAAGACTTGTTTCATCTCTGGAAATCCCAAACCACCTACAACATAAAGGCCTAAATGATCACCTCCCGGACTGACATCTTTGTCCCCCTCTCAACTCTTCCCTGTTTTGGTACCTTTTTCACACAACCGGAGAAGAGGGTGTTGGACAGGCATTTCCCATCTCTGGAAGCAGGATATCATTCACCCACTCATGGTGGCAGCCATGCCACTCGAAGTGGTGACACTAATACCGGAGCATTTTTCAGACACGAGAGACCAGGAGAACCTGTGGCGCTAATGGCTAAAGATCAAAGAATGGGTCTAAGACTCGAATTTTTGCATCTTCCCATTGTCAGGTCCCTAGTCTCCAAATCATGCCCAGTTCACTCCGAAGTCAAGCAAGAGACAAGCTGAAGGGACACCTGGGGCCAGACTTACTGGATCACTGTCTGTGGGCCGTGGCTACGGAAATGACAGAGTATTCTCTCTTCACAAACAGTGGGGCTTCATTTCAATTTCATGTTCATTCATTCTGTCTTTCCAAAAGAAACTAGGCAGTTATTCATATCTTGACTTCAGCCAATTTCTTAGCCTCTGATTTATGCAACTGTGGAAGAACTCACCAGGACCAGTATCTCTGGTGGTTCAGATGATAATCACATTCAGAAGAGTTCTGATATTTTTTTTTCATCACATAAGGTTTTGTTAATGCGCTATTTTAACTCTTTAATAAACAAAATAGCATTTGATTTCGATCACTTATGTTCCCATTCCTGTATCTTAAATGCATGTTCAATGAATCAGACTGATTGCCTTGCCAGTAAGCCAGGAATACTAGTTATCTATTGCTGCATAACAAATTCCTACCAAGGTTTCTCTAGTACTATAAAGTTTAATATTACTGAGGTCTTTCCAAATATGAGACAATGTCCTGACAACTTTACATGTTCTCATTTAAATATTGACAAAATGTCTCCTGTGTGCACCTCCATAACTAGCACACACAGAAACTTTATAGATCTTATCACATCTTATTTGAATAATCTATATATTTTCCTCTTAACCTTTGGCCTGATCAAGTCAGAAAGAGGAAAAAAAATGTACAAATGAACTGTAAATAAAAATTGGATCATAACCTCAGATACAGCTAAGATTTTAAATCCTGTAACAGAATATGATTTTTTTAAATTTCGGCCAATCACTTTTTTAAATGTAAGTGCTACAGACAGTTTTCTAAAATAATAATAATCTTATAAATAGATTAAGAAAAGGAGTTCTGTTTCTGGTAAGACAACAGACAGTATTACTAGACTAAGCTTCCCATCATAAACAACTAAAATGCTAGATTTAAGCTTTGAAACATTTTATGAGGACCACTGTTGTGCTAGAAATAAAATAAGAAATACACAAGCCAGAGACCTACTGATGGTGTGAACCAGAGAGGTAAAAGAAATTTGAGGGCATTTGCCAAATTGGGTCAACGTGGGTGTCCGTTTTCATGGCTCATGGCACATAAAGTGCAGAAGGCAAATTTCAGTGTCCACTTAAGGTGGGGAGTTTAAGTAGAGATCTTTTCTCTTTTAAGTCAGAGGCCCCAAAGGCCTCCACTTGAGTGTAAGAGTGAATTATATATACCACTCCTTTTCACCAAAGATGACATAAAAATTTGTTTATAAGTTAGCAAATTAGCAGAGGAAGGGTAACATCTTAAGAAGTGGAATCCATAGTCTGGTTATCATGTTGATGTAAAGTGTAAATGTACAGTGTCTGCATCCTCCTCAAATTCTCAAACTAAAAATGTAAAGTATCCCCAAACCAGAAGTTATCCCAGGCTTCAGCAAAAACGAAAGTCACACATTTTCTGAAGGAACCAACTTAATACCAGGTTTCCATAAACATCAAAAAGCAAATTTTTTTCATTTCATTAAAAAATGAACTTAAACTACTCGAAGTCAAATTCACTAAACACACGAGAAAATTTGACACTGTGAGTAGTATGTTCCCTTTTCTCCACATCCTCTCCAACATTTGTCACTTCTTGTTTTATTGAGAATAACCGTTTTAACAGGTATGAGGTGGTATCTCATTGTAGTTTTGGTTTGCATTCCCTTATAGCTAGTGAAGTTGAGTGTCTTTTCATGTCTGTTGGTCATCTGTATGTCTTCTTGGAAAAAGTGTCTGTTCAAGCCCTCTGTTCATTTTTAAAATAGATTCTTTGTTTTTTGTTGTTGCTGAGCTGTGTGAGATCTTCATGTAAATTGGATACTAGCTCCTTATCAGAGCACGTTTTGTAAAGAGAATCCTCATACACTACTGAGAGGAATGTAAATGGGTACAGGCTCTATGGAAAACAATATGGAAGTTCCTCAAAAAATTAAGAATAGAGTTACCATATGCCCAGCAATTCCTCTTCTGGGTATCTACCAGAAAATTTGAAAACACTCATATAGCCCTATGTATTTATTGCAGTATTATTCACAATAGCCAAGATAGGAAAATAACCTAAATGTCCTTTGACCAATGATTGGATAAATAAAATGTGGTACTTACATACAATGGAATATTACACAGCCATAAAAAAGATGAAATATTGTCATTTGTGACAACATGGATGGGTATTGAAAGTATTGTGCTAAGTAAAATAAGTCGTATGAAAAAGTATCAGAACTACATAATTTTGCCCATGTGTGAGATATAAAACAAAAAGCAACAAATGAACAAATAAAACAAACTCACAGACACAGACAACAGTATGGTGGTTACTATAGGGAAAAGTGGTGGGGGTTGATAAAGAAGGTAATACATACAGTGACAAAAGTAGACTAGACTTTGGGTGACTAGCACACAATGTAATATACAGATGATATATTATAGAGTTGTTCAACTGAAACTTAATAATGTTAATAAACAATGTTACTCCAATCTATAATAATAAAAGCATAATATGCTAATTAGACTGGTCAGCTGAGCAGCGGAACGACTGACTGTCCGGATGACCTTCCAGATGAAGCCGGGGCTGCAAGGACCTATCCCCTTGCACAAATTTTGTGCATCAGGCCTCTAGTAAATTTAAATAAAAATGGGAAAATAAGGCACTATGAACCAAGTGAAACAACAAATGATAGAAAAGGACCCACAAAATATAATAGCCGTATTTTTCTATTTACAAAAATAAAGAACAACCTTAAAATATGTGCACAGAAGGAACTAAAGAATAAACATTTTGAAAACAGAAAATATAAAGTTAGAAACTTAAATGAATATGTTAAGCAGATTGGATACAACTAAAGAGAGATTAACAAAGAGAAACGTGTGTATGAGGAAATTAATCAGAATGTAGCTGAAGTGTTTTAAGTTATGTCCTCAAAAAGATATGTCCAAACGTACAACCAAGACAACGTTACCCAGCAAGGCTATCATTTAAAATTGAAGGAGAAATAAAGAGCTCCCAGATAAGAAAAAAACAAAGGAAATTTATTACCATCAAATCAGTATTTCAAGAAACATTAAAGGGCTTGGTTTAAGAAGAAAGAAAAGGGGCCGAAACCAGTTTGGCTCAGTGGTAGAGCGTCGGTCTGCGGATTGAAAGGTCCCAGGTTCGATTCCGGTCAAGGGCATGTACACCGGTTGCGGGCACATCCCTGGTGGGGGGTGTGCAGGAGGCGGCTGGTCAATGTTTCTCTCTCATCGACGTTTCTGGCTCTCTATCTGTCTCCCTTCCTCTCTGTAAAAAATCAATAAAATATATTTAAAAAGAAGAAGAAGAAGAAGAAGAAGAAGAAGAAGAAGGAGGAGGAGGAGGAGGAGGAGGAGGAGGAGGAGGAGGAGGAGGAGGAGGAGGAGGAGGAGGAGGAGGAGGAGGAGGAGGAGGAGGAGAAGGAGAAGAAGAAGAAAGAAAAGGGAAGAAAAATAGCCAAGACCGGTTTGGCTCAATGGATAAAGCGTCGGCCTGGGGACTGAAGGGCTCCGGGTTCGATTCCGGTCAAGGGCATGTACCTTGGTTGCGGGCACATCCCCAGTAGGGGGGTGTGCAAGAGGCAGCTGGTCAATGACTCTCTCTCATCGATGTTTCTGACTCTCTGTCTCTCTCCCTTCCTCTCTGTACAAAATCAATAAATTATATTAAAAAAAAAAAAGAAAAGGGAAGAAAAATAAAACAGAACATAGTTAAAGGAATAAAATGGCAATAAACATGTACCTATCAATAAACTTTAAATGTAAATGGCTTAAATGCTCCAATCAAAAGTCATGGAATAGCTGAAGGAATACAAAAAAAGACCCATATATATACGCTATCTACAAGAGAGCCATTTCATAACAAAAGATATACAGAGACTAAGAGTAAGTGGATGGAAAATGATATTTCATGCAAGTGGAAATGGGGGAGAAAGCTGGGATAGCAATAATTATATCAGTCAAAATAGGCTTCAAAACAAAGGTCATCACAAAAGACAATGAAGGATATTACACCTGTGGCACAGTGGTTAGAGCATCAGCCTGCACACTGAAGGGTCGAAGGTTCAACTCATGGACAAGGGCAACGTGTACAGCTTGCAGATTCAATCCCCAGCTCGTCTGGGAGTGTGTAGGTGGCAACCAATTGATATGTCTCTCTCGCATCAATGTTCCTTTCCCTTTTTCCCTCGCTCCCTCTGTCCCATCACTCTCCCTAGAAATCAATGGAAAAATTGTCCTGATCTGGCTCAGTAGTTGAGGTTCAACTTATGAACCAGAAATCTGGCCACCTCACCTTCTTGTGAGGAGCTGTTTTCTTTCTATCTGATTCTGGAACTTGAAATCCACAGGGCAGAAAGTCAAAAAGAAAAAATGAATGCCGCATGAGAGAGAACAAGAACTAGCTGGAACACACTGGGACAAGCTGAAGGCCCTGGGGCAGATTGATATCTGTGCCATTTCTTGGTGTCTATGACCTAGATGGTAGGCATGTCCTTCAGAAGACTGGATTCTTTGTTACAGAGATAAGCATAGTCACCTGACCAAGATGTAAGAGAGGCTAAAGATCCAGATGTCCTTTCAGACTTGGTCATGCCTCAGGCCAAAAAGAATGAGCTAGTAGATCAGAGACAATGTGTGTTAGCTACAAAATGCTGCTTCATTTTGCCCTCTAAGTCTTCCACAAGTGTTTTGAACTAGAAATATATGCAAAGGGGAATTCTTGGAAATGTAGTTCAGCCTAGCCAAACTGATAATACAAGACTCCCAGAGGTAGAAATATTTTTCTTTTTCTGTTTTAAATATATTTTTATTGATTTTGTACAGAGAAAGAAGAGAGCTAGAGAGCTAGAAACATCGATGAGAGAGAGTCATCGATCAGCTGCCTCTTGCACACCCCCCACTGGGGAAATACCCACAACCAAGGTACATGCCCTTGACCGGAATCGAACCCGGGACCCTTCAGTCCCCAAGCCGACACTCTATCCATTGAGCCAAACCGGTCTCAGCAGAAATATTTTTCTTAAAGAAGACATAATGAACAGTTGTATAGTAATAGTACACGTTTAAGTTGTTTTATTTAAGAAAGTAGGTAAGCATATGTCCAAGGCTCTTGAATATTTGAGAATATCTTTCTTCTCTTTTTCTTCAATCCTTACCCAAGGATATTTTCTTCCATTGTCTTTTAGAGAGTGGAAGGTAGAAAGAGAGGGAGGGAGGGAAAGACAGGAAGACAGAGAGAATGAAAAACATTGATGTGAGAGAAAGAAACAGATTGGTTGCCTCCCACACAAGCCCCCACTGGCGCCGGGATTGAACCTGCAACCCTTGGCCAGGAATTGAACCAGAGACCATTCAGCATTCAGGCTGATGCTCTAACCACTGATCCATACTGGCCAGGATGAGAATCTCTTTTTTTTGATATCATATATCATTCAAAACTTAGATATTTAGTAAAGTCTCTACTTACATTTTACATCTCAGAACTCTGTAAAAGTTTTTTTCCCTTAGTGTCATTGAAACAAAAGTAGAAACTCAAGAATGATTATTACTCCCTTTTAGGTAACATTACTGTTTTTTGTCTGAATAGTTCACATTCATTCTTTGTTCTTATAGCCTAAACCTTTCATCGGAACCTTACACAGCCCAGTAATCCA